ACGAAAAAGGGCTGAAAATTGCATGTTTCAACTCCTATAACTGGACAAAAACCCGCGGTAGAAAAAAATTCTTTCACACATTGGTTACCAGTAACCATTAGCAACAACGTGGTGTAGTTTGAACAAAATGCGGCCATACAATATTTTTCCTGGTACACTTGGCCCCATTTATAACAAATATATGAATTTAATGCGGAGTATAATACAGTTTTTTTTTTTTTAATAAACAGTCGAAAAAAGTAGATATCAGTCAGCGTCTTTGGAAGTTCTTCTGGAACTCACAACTCTTCGTATTCATATTCAGAATGAGGCGAAGGGGACTATTATAAAGGTGGCTGTCACCAGCGGAAAACGGGTTTCCGAGGCACAGGATGACAGGATATTTTAATGACGCAGTATCCTGACACTGCAAAATTGATGGACCCCACACATTCAAAGCTCAGTTTTCCAAAAACGCTTATAACTGAAATTAAGTATATTCGAAATGTCTATGTATATACTTGATAACTTCTTACACTGGTGGTTAATGGCCTGAAAACGTTTCGGGATAGGCTTATTTGAGTCGAGATTAAGATACTCACAACCAGTTAGAAAGATGTGGAGACTCCACTTAATATGAAGCGCAGCAACCGGAACCAGAACGTTCTGACCTTGCAGTGCTGAACATATTGAAAACGACAAGTTGTCGATGACGACGATGACGAAAATTAAAATTTTTATAATTTTTGTATAAAGTCTGAGATGTAGATTTATATGGTATTTGCTAGACTTTTATATAAAAATAATCAACCATAAAAAAAGCAAAAGAAAAGTAGTCAAAGCTGTTAAAAATATTGATGTGCTATCTTCTGTCGCAGAGTGTAATCGCGGAAATTCTTACAGGCAGACTAGAATTTCACCTGACTTAACTGAGTTTTACACAGTTGAACAGTGGTGATTCTGCAAGTCTGATATCGAAACTTCATGGCGTACTAGATTAATAGACTTACTTTAAACACATGTGGGGAACTGTTGTTTATCCCCAGCATATACATACATATATGTACTTACATAAATATTGAACACCAACATATGCTTCAAATTTTTCCACAAATCAAAATGATCACTTTTTTTTTCTTTGAGACAATGTATCTTTTATTTATTTTCATTAATTAGCCATTAAAGTTTATTATTATTTATTGTATTTTTGTATCATTCCATTATCGATTTTATGAACAATTTAGCCAACTTGATTTTGTGTGCTTGTTTTGATTAGTTTGACATTTACTTTAATCAATTATTAATTACAATGGGGTTAATGGCGGAATTATTATTTACTTTGCAATCACGATTAAATGCTTTTGCCATTAATTAAATACTAAAAAATATTTATATGCGATTGTACGCTGAAACATTCATACATACTTACAACTAAAGCGCACATATGTATGTACATATATTTTTGTATATGAATTTTCTTTTAACAAATGAAATCCATAGATACACACATATGTATGTATGTATGTATGTAGATGCAAATACATTCACTGTATATACCAGTTCTTCATACTATATATCACCGTTATCTTTCAGCGATTAATAAAAAAAAAACTTAATACACACTTAAAAATTTACATTAAAAAATTACAATTTTATTTTTTCCTGCAAGCAATGTTAAATTTTTTCTTCCATTTTTAAGCGGACAACCTAAAAAAAGCAAAAGTTAAATTTACGGCTGGTCAAGTTCATTGGAAAAAATTTAATTTTTTATTTTTGGTTTTGCTTAAATAATTGCTTCTGCAAATATACAGTTTAAAGTAATGGCACATATTTATAAAGTGCATTTTAAAATACTTGTATTTTTTCCAAACCATTAATTCCATATTGACTTTGTGCTGCTTTTTTTTCAATTGGGCTTTAAGTGTTTTTAAGCGTTTTTAAATTGCGATTATTTACAAAATTTTTATTATTTACAAAATTTTTATTTTTTTGCAAGCTATTAAATTTATTTCGCAACATACGGCGAATTCATTTGGTTTTTGTCTTTGTTTGTTTTTTATTGATTTTATCTCCATTTTCTTCAAAACTATTTAGGTATATTACACTTAAAGAGCAGATATTTAAGTTTTAAGAAAGTTTATGTTTAGCTGAAATTTTCGGTGAACATTAAGTTAAGTGGGCAATTGGAATGCGCATTATTTTATATTTAATTGGTTTTCACACTCTGATTTTTTACACATTATTATACGTTCCTTTTTATTAAAATTACCATTTAGAGACGGAAGTTTTGGAAAATTTAAGACCCGTAACTTTTTTAGTAGAATTATTTCTTTCTTTTTTCTTTAGTTATAGTATAGAATCTAACAGCCAGTTTCACCAAATTACTTAAGTGAAAATTTTCGAATTTTCGGTTTCACCAATCAATTTTAATTTTGATTTAAGTGACCTATGCACTTAAATAAAAGTTAAATCAGAACAACCACACTCAGAGGTGTTACACGTTTAATCACCTGATCATTGTGTATCTGCTGCTTACTTGTATACCAGCCCTGCTTTTACAACACAGCGTGCCAAAGCTTTCAAAAGCTCTCAGTACAAATGAAAGCGAAAGCTAGTCCTAGTCTGTTTTACAACCACTTTTTACTCACTTAAATAAATAGTTTATTGAAACTGAAAATTATTTAAATGAGAATTAAATACAAAATTAAATTAAAGTTAATTTCCACTTAAATAGTTTGGTGAAACTGGCTGTAAATGATAGAACTCTCTTTTCGAAGTGAACGGCAGCTGCAGCGAAAGATAAATTGAATGATAAAACTAGTTGTGTATATTTGAAATTTAGAAAATATTAACTAACAATTGGATAAAAAGGATAGATATACTTCTCGATTTCTCAAGTGAAAACTATATAACAGATCAACAAAAGTTTTGCGACTTTCGAAGTCTGGAGTTTTTGCCAGTGTGTGAATAAGGGGCCCCTGATTAATTGGACTTGGCCAAAATCGATCAGGCGGATACAGCGCCAAACAAGAGGAAGAGTAGAAAGTAATAGTCTATATTAGAGACAATAGAATAGGGGTTATTACCTGTTTTCTTCATCCGGGAAAAGTGTGAAATTGGCATGCAAACAAAAATTAAAAAAAAAAATGATGTTATGCGTTCTAATTGATCAGTTAGTAGAATTTCTCAATTAACGCGAAAAATTGAATTCAATTTGGATAAGTAGTTTAGTGCTAATGATAATATATTGCCGCTTACATTTTTCTAAGTTTTGTCCGAGCTTCTCCTAAAATTTTGTTGTGCGCTTCTCGACATTGTTGTACAAATGGATGAACCTACAGTTTTACACCGCCTTCGAACGGCAAATGGATTTTTATGAGAAGAAACACACCCGGAGGTTTGCCATTGCCTGCCAAGGGGCGAACGCTGTTAGAAAATACGTTTTCTAATTTAGATGTTGCTCGGACCAGGGATCGAACTCAAGTTGTATATATTGGTAGTACGCACCTCTAACCACTCAGCCACAGTGATCGCCATAGTGCTAAATCATACCCAAATTAACTCATACCCCCAATGCAACCGTGCTAGATATAGTTCTACTGATAAAAAGCTCTGACTGCTTGTTTCAATTTTATAAATAGGTTTTGCTTTTTTAGAGATAGTTATCTAAAATTATGAATGATATCTGCATCCATAAAAGAACCTTAAAAAATATGTGAATTGGAAATTTTCATTAAAAACTTTTAAGTTATATTCTCGCCTTCGATGTACATAGGTCCCGTTAAATTTAACAAATTTATCCTTCATTTTCTTCCACGAATATTTTTATGGCTTCAAAAGATATCAATGAAATTTCGTTGATCAACGCTTTCGACCACAGTCGAAGAATGTAAGCAACTCATAATAGGGGCCTAAAGCTCCAGCCGATTTTGAACAGTAAATTCCAGTTTTGGACCACTGTGCGGCGCCACTTTACACTAGCGGTTCTCATCAGAGGCAAAAGGTATGAATTCTCTTTAGAAATAATTTTTGTTTGGAATATGCGTGCCTCAAGTAAGTATTTTCCTTGATTTAACATTGGTTTCAAAGAGAAATTTTAAAAATAAAAAAAAATTATACATCGTTATTCAAATAGACATAAAAAACTGGTAACCAACTTTTCCAAATCCTTTGGTACTTTTTCATCATTTCACCAGCTTAATCGAATGAAATTTTTTGCGATGTGTAATGCTGACTACACACGAGGCACGTTGAAGCAACGTGTTTTTCTTGTTCAATACACACGAGGCAACCATAACGGCAACCTCAGTAGTGTGTGCTCTGTTATGAAATGTACATGCGGGAGAAAGTTTTTTTTCTACAAAGACACCTCTTCAGCTCGCTTGCTTTTAACGAACTAAGCCAATAAAATCTATACATAACGATACACACGAGGCAACCAATTCGGCAACTAACATAAAATATCGAAATAACTTGATTTTCTGGCGACGGTTGCGGCAACACGAGTTTCTACGAGCCACAATGCTACACACGAGGCAACGTCGAAACAACATGCCTTAATTGCTTCAACGGTTGCCTCGTGTGTAGTCGGCATAATAAATAGAAACAATTAAAAACCACTGATAGCCTTCTGCTAAGTGAGCAAGCTATATGAATGTGAATGAGACTGATAACTCAATTAAAAATAATTGCGTAATTGAAATGGAATTAGTAGAACATAAACCTATTTCTTTAAACCAAATTTTAAAATTCTGTGTAGAGACATATGTTCACCATCAAAGACATCACAACGACCATCCACTTCGAGTTTTTTAGTACGTTTTTGAGTTTTGTCCTTAATATCTATAGATAAATAGTTTTTGATTGGCAGTTACACAACATTTTTTTTTCCTTCTCCTACATAAACTTTTATGGTAAATACTTCATTGTACGTTGTATTTCGTATCTGGTCACACTCCACGCGTTACGTAATATAAGTAATCATGTATTTAGTTTAGCTTTGCCTTAAATTTTTGGTATGGTTTTTTTTTTACGGAAGTAGTGCATACTACGTATACATTTATAGCCTGGACCCATTTATGAGATTTCAAGAATTGGATTGAGGCAATTTATCTTTGATCTATAGAAATACTTTGCATTTATTTTTTTTTTAATTGTTGCTGCTAATTCTTTAGGCATTAGTTTTTTTTTCTGATTTCTGTTTAAGTTGTATCCACTGTGCAGCGATTCGACTTATGATTACTGCAATTTTTAGAAATTCTTCTCTACTCAATTTCTTACATTTACTTACGCACACTAAACAGTTAGAAATTAGCAATCAACATTTATATGCGGCATTTGGTTTTTGTTTTTTTTTTTACTCAAATCTATTACCATCCATTTTACGGAAGCCGTGTTTTTTTTCTATATACATATATATTAAATTGCTGCTCGACATTTTTTCTCGGTTACTCCATTTTAAATGCTTAAGATATGTGCCTACGACCCATTTATGCTACTTAAAATTAATTTAATACGAGTACAACTAACCTTACGTTAAAAAGTATGCCAATGTCTATAGGTAGACGCCTCTACGTAATTCTAACATAAATGCAATTTATAATAAATATTGTTAACCTTAAATACGTGATATTTATAATGCAAATATATACACAGAGGCGAGAAGAATACTCTCATGCTTTCTAGTCTTCTTCTCCTTCGCCCTCTATCCCCCTCTCTCTCTCGCACTACGCACTCTTCACCCCACCTTCTCACTCTCGCTGCTGTTTGCATCGACTCTTATTCATTCTTACTCAGAAGTAATCCATTTTGGGCGCGTCCAAAGCGGTGTGTAAGGTGAGTGTAACGCCACGATTAATGCTTACGGCCGGGTAGAAAACGCCGTACAAATCTCGGAATGCAACTGAGCCCTGTGGCATTTCATTGACCAGGAAGCTTAAAGTGTGTCGTTCCAGATCGAGTAGCACACCGATGGTGCTGCCGGTGGTGATGCCACCTTCAACGCGTCGCTCATGCACGGAATTATGTTGGAACCACGAACGTTGGCCGTCAATGTACATGGCAAAGGATTTTTCATCTTTTCCTGGAAAGAAAGGAGAGCAACAAAACGAAAAACTTTAAGCATTACATTTGAGTAAAAGTAAAAAAAAAAAAATGATGTACAACAATGCGCATAAATAGTCCCGCTGGCAAAATTTTTAAAAACCTTCTCGATACTGCCTATCTAGACCATTTTGAAATCAGTACAGAGGGTCTTTGGTCTTTTTCGCATTTAACCACGACAATAAGGTTTTGAGTCCTCACGATAACCTCGTCTGGCGCAAAAGTCATTTTCACTGCAAATATGTATGTTCTTTGAATTTTCTTATATGACTACTAAACGGCGGTCCGCTCTCTCCGTCCAGATGCGATGGCCCAGTGATGCCAAGACGGCACGTCATTTCTGAACAATCGTCGATTTGACTACTTTGGATTTTATAGCTTTGAATGCCACTAGGCTATTGAAGGATACTAGTGTTCACCCAGCGGTTGAAATTCAAACTTTTAAATTAAGGGACGTTTAGGTGGGCTGAGCTGAACCGAGTTGAGTTCAGTTGAGTAGACATAATAACAGATTCAACATAGTGTAACATAACACAACACAACACAACACAACACATTACAAAACAATAAAATGCAACACAAAAAGACACAACAAATCACAACACCTCGACCTCCGAAACCCCCTAGTACGAAATTTCTAACCATTTCTTTAAACCTTAGAATTTTGGCCGCACTGTGCAGCGGGGCGGCATTGATGCCAGTGAAGCCTAGAAGCAACACGATTATATCGCTAACACTCTAACAAGCCGAAAATAGAAGAAAACTAAATGCATGCTTAAGAACAAAAGTAGAAAATTCTCAAAATGGAAACTTAAGATATGCCAGACGAGGCAACTACATAGCACAAACATGCACACCTACAACATATATTAAAATATAGCATGAAATGAGCAACACGATTGCCCCCAGTTGCCTCCCAGTCTACGGCGCTTAAGTGCCGGCACTTCAACTTCACGAAGGCGCCAATAAGCTGCGAACGAAGGCTAATAAGAAACTTTTTCATTTGGAAAAGTGTCGCCGCACACCACACAAGACAGGGTAGGTAGACAGGGAGGGTATAAACACAACTTTGTATCTATGCGCCTACTTATGCACGGTTGTGTGAGTGAGGGTGTATGTAAGGAAAATGTTAAAGAGCCACTGTCAACTTTTCTTTGTCATTAAATATCGACAGGTAAATAGAAAAAGCGCACGCAAAATTGCCAATTTCAATTCGATTGGAAAGTGTCTTCGATACGAGTACATACCTAAAAGATGTTGAAAAAAGTTTGAAAATACCTCGTCATGCATATACTCGTAGCAGTGCAAACACAACTTGGCACTTTGCGCAAGAAATCAACAGAAATGGCAAATATTTGTTCGAGGATATTGCGTAGCGCCAACGACGGCAGAGCGGAAATGGCTGAACGAAACAAAGTCGACGTTATTGCAACCAAGAAAAACACTGACAAAACAAACTTAGTTGGATAAGTGAAAAAATGATAATTGGAAAACAAAAATAAAAGATGTATGGAAGTTTTCAAATTAAGGTGGATTTTGATTAAAAACGAAGTACATATGCAGCTCAGGTGTTGACGACTTTTTGAAAAGTAGCAGGTTTATGTCCAACAGGAACGAATAAGTTTAACAGAAGGGGGCAGTATGCGATATGACCCAAACAGTTTGATCAGTTTTAAGGAAATCTGTACTCTCGAAAATCTGGTTGGGTATAATTTTGAAACAAGGGAACGTGAAATTTACGTCAATCTCTGTAAGAAGTTTTACAGAAATTCCCATTCTAGTTTTTATCGCATAACTGTCATAAAACTTATGCGGAAAATGTATATACATACATACATACTTTTAATAATTTATTCACTAGTACCAAGTACATATAATTGCGAATAGCAAAACGTAACAACAAGTTAAAAACATTTTAGGTAAATTTTTTTTTTTATCTTTACATAAAAAATTTCGTTCATTCAATTAAATTGCAAAATGTTTACAAATTACCCAATAAACATTGTAGAGAAAATTATCTTCCATAGAACATAAAAGAAAAGGTTAGCAATCTTTTGCCTCACCATCGATCGGAGATACTATTGGTTGCGATAAATAGGTGACCTAGTTTTTAATCTTATAAGTTAGGGAAATCTCATGCAAATGCATGTTTTTATTGGACATCTGCAAATGGTTAAGTTATCATTGCGAATCAAGAAATTTCCTTTAAACTGGCATTCAATCGTTAATGCATGGTTTTGCATATTTTGCAAAAAAGTACCTGTCTTTGCATATTTATTGCGCATATTTTAGTATATTTTACAAAAAAAAAACATATGTTTGCCTTTTTTGATTTACGACCATTTAAATTTAATGCGAAATATCTTGACAAAAAAATTACCTATAAGTTTTTCCCAAATATTCATCTGAATATCTTCTCGGTTAGCCAAGCGGCCATTAAGGCACTCTCTTCTATCTCTGTTAGATCTCAACTAGTGGAGGACTGTAGGAGAGAGCTGGCCCATATCTTTGATCAATACGAAATTACCCTGATATGGGACATTTACGGAAATGAGGCAGCGGACGAAAAAAGGTTAGTTTATTAATTTCAATTTCCCCAAAGTGCATTGCGCAGTCTGAAACTTCACAAAGCGTTTAGATGGCTTTTGCTCGATTAATTGTCATTTACCGTTTTTAATATATATCAGCGAACTTGTACCACGCGAACGAGTTATTGCTCCTGGATTGCATTGAAGAATCCGCAAGAAAAACTTGCAATAAAATGACAAACCAATAGCGCCACTGAAGCAAATCAAAAAGTTATGACCGCCCAGAGGCAACAAGTTGAAAATACTTGAGTAAACTTAACCCATCAGCGAGCGAGAGTGCATATTCGTACATAAGTAACGCTTAAGCCGGACAAGCTGCTCGCCTGCCACCGTGGCGCACTCTAACGCGTGTTCACTTAAATGCAATATATTTTTTTATTATCTTTTCACATTTCAAAGTTTCAGATCTCCACTGCCAGCCACCACTTTCACTTACCTAACATTTTGTTGCGATTGACATCGATGCGCGCCACACCGAATGCCGGGTCCGTGTCCATGGTGTACTTGTCGACGGTGAATTCCCAATAGTGAATGCCACGCGAGAAGCCCACCGAACCCAAAGCGACGCGGTGCTCCCAACCCTCCACCGACACTGTGGCATTGCTGTTGCTGAAGACGAGGCCAGAGCCGGCGCCGCCGCTCAGAATCGGATCGAATGTGAACCAGGCAACTGTGGGGAGGAAAAAAGAAGAAAATGAAAAGGAAAGATAAAAAATGTGCACTAAACGAGTGTGGGAGTTTATAAATTGAAATTTTATTTTACAATAAACTTATCATAATAATAACGGCAACAGTGTGAATGCGAATGCGATACAGCGAATGCAACTGAGCACTTTGTTGTGAGAAAAAATTTAGCAAATTGATTTAACAAAAAAAAAAACAACAGAGAAAAATAAGCGTTAAGTGTGCATTTGCAACAGTTGTGTGGCAACTTTGAGTGCTGTCATCGCCATCATAATTCGCTGCGTATTTGCTGTAAAGCGCCATAAAGTATGCTACAACTTTTGCACATCCACTAACAGCAAAATCCAATTGCTGGCATATTTATTTGCGTACTCTTACGTTTTATTGTCGTTGCTTTCCTTTTATTTGAGTGGACACTTTTTTGATTGCATTAACCATTAGCTTTTGATGGCGTTCGCTTGTTGCATTATTGAGGATTTATTTGTTGCCACAAATTGTAGCAATTGTCAACTTATTGCTCACTTACGAGTATTGTGGGCTTTTTTTTATTGGCAGCAAAGAAAAGTTAGCTATTGCCAATTGTGGGGAGGATTATGCTGAGATTTATTGAATTGTTAAATAGTTTAGTGCCCAAGTTAATATAAAAGTTTGAACGCGGATGAGGATAAGCGCTCAACGGAGCAACAAGTGACGTACGTAAATGGGTGTGAAAAGGGTGATGAAAATAGCACCAATACTATGAGAGAAAAATTTAAAAGTTTCTTGAATTTAATGAAGTGAAGAGTTGTTACATTTTTCGATAAAAAAATGCTTTTGGTCGAAAATGGTGGCACACCTATTTATCTTAGACAACGCATATTGTTCAGTTTTGCATAAAAGAAAAGATTCCATCGCGAAATTGTTTTTAAATAAAAACTTAAAAAAAAATATTAAAAAAGTCAAAATAACAAATCGTGCTCGAATACCCGTACCCTACAAGAATTGTCTGATGGAAACTAACACATTCTCATTTATCTTACTAACACATTTGCAAGTTTTGCGTTGGTTAAAAAGAGACCACCACATCAGGCCATAAGTTGGAGGTAGACGGAAGATCACATGTATACAAATGTTTGCATCACGTTTTTCATATTGTTCTTAAAAAGTTGATAGAAGTACTTGATTGAGGTCATCAGCAGTGAGTATCACATGATCGATCAAATGACTATCACTGTTCTTGTGGGGTAGTTGTGTATGTAACGTATACGCCCCGTAGAATTATAAAAGTCAGCTAACGCGTTTACTCGCACGCCTTGACTTAAAAGATATGTTATTTAAAAGTAATTAAATATTGGCGTGGAATATTTTTTTGCAGTATTCTTTTATATATCAATTTCAGAATGAACTACGAGTGTGCCAATGAAAATTTTAAAATTGGAATTTGTTTTGAAAATTATCTCCATCTTATAATAAATGTATTTTTTTTTGCATTTGGTGCCACCATTCGAAAAATTACTAAATGTAGCAGTTCAAAGTTCAATTCAGTTAAAACTCCTGAAACGGGTTGAGCAAACTTAAGACATAGAATGGCCTTAAGACACATAGAGAGTAGACCACACGATACGTTATCCTCTGTTGCTCGCATCCAGCAACGACCTCTGAGTCAACGTTCACGCGAAATGTGCTTAGTCTGATTAATGCGGATGTTCATTGGTGAGCAACATTGTCACTTCTGACTTCTGCATCTTCTCGACGTGAGTGGGACGCTACAACGCAGCACAATCTCTGATTGCGAAACAACCACAAAGCCAAGCGCAGCTCATCAAACACCAGTAAGCTATTCTATTACACTCTGTAAACCCCTCAAGAAGACGACAGTATTTCAATTCAAATACAACTTATTGTACCACGATGCTCCACAAGAACAATGGACAACTGCAGCAGCTCGCTGGACATTACAATCGCTAACGGTGGCCTGATTAACAGCACAACTTGGCAAACTCAGGGCTCCTGCCCACCATAATCTCTATCGACAAATCTATCGATTTTGTATCCATAGACCACCGCCGTTGTATTATTATTAATTTTTTAACCTGACAAACAAATTTCGGAAGTGCACGACAAATTCCCGGTCGAGGCAGCAGCCTCAACAACCGCGTATTACCATCAAGGCGAGGTTAATCCAAGGGATTTCATTTTGGCTATTCGGCAATTCTCGGATAAGGACAAAGGGCGCGTCACCAGAACGCTAAGAAAACTGCTAAAGCCATTGCACCACTTGCTATCAACAGTGCCGAAACTCGAATGATCAACGGAAAGGCTAAGGCGTTCCGGACGAGCTTAACAGTGTCTGGGAACAGTGGAAGTAGATTACTTTCATTGAGGTCACTATCTGCCAACCTAGGGAAGTCACGTCGCCCGATATCTATCTCTTCGCCAGTAGTAAAGGCCGTTGAGTCCTTGTTTCTCTCGTCGCTTATATATTAACTGACCCCAAAAGTACGCCAGGATGGATTCCGTAAAGCGCATTATACAACCACCGCAATTATCGGCCTTAACACGCAGATAAACGCAATCAAGCAAAAACACGTAATACCTGCAGGAGCTTTAAGGAGAAAAAGTAACAAAAATAATGAAACTACTGACAGCCGCCGCATACCAATTAAACGTCCGAGCTAGCAACAACACAAAGTACTAAGGGGATATTTATACATACATCCACATGCATTCTAGAGCTACAACTGGTGGCTGGTGGGCTAAGAAGTTGATTGATCCCTGCGGTTAGCGTGAACATCAACAGTGGCATAAGGTGTCAAGCGGTGCAACGGTATTTCATTTGTAAGGGTGTGGCAGTGAGGTGAGGTGATATGTTCATTTGTAGCAAAAATATCTGCCAGTTGAACTTATTGTTGAAGTAAGAGCAAAAGCAGAATGTTTGATCCCCACCACAACAACCACAATACCACTTAACCACCTGCCAACTATACATATTTACATACGTACATATATTACGCTTAACTTTTCATGCATAGGCTCCCTATTTTAACGCCATTTTCACTCTACGCGCCTACCAAAGGAAAATTGCACGTAAACACCGTTACAAATTTATTCATATCATACTCTACAAGTTGTTGTTGCAGATTTTTTTTTTTTAATATTAAAGAGGTCAATGGTTGCTTTGCATGCAAACTTGTCAGTCACTTGCGAGAAGTAAGCGAAAATACACCTGGAAAATACTTGGCAAGAAAAGTACTCGAATATACAAAAGAATTATGAATTGAAATGTTTCCACGCAATACCCAATGGGAGCGGCAAGCTCGAAAACGATAATACAAGATGAGCTGAATGCCACTTCATTTTATTCATTTATTGCGTAGCAACACCATTACCACTGCTTTCATTGCCTTCCACACTAATAGCCAGTGTCTAATATTTAACATCACTTTTACAGCAAATTTAAGTCTCTTAGAATCCCTTGCACTGACACTCACGCCTCTCCTAGATACCTCACCTTCACCGTTGTCGTTTCTAAGCTACCGCGTAGCCGCAATGCCGCTGAACATTTCACCGCACTCCTGCCTGTCAACTACAATTCTAAGCTCAAAATATTAGCAACCCTTTTTCCACTTTCGCACCTAAGTACTCTGCTTTAGCTGCATTCATTCGAGTCGAAATTTTAGAAGCTTAATTGAAATATTGAATTCTATAAGTAAATATGTAAGATTGATGCGCAAAGTAAAGCAACGCGTAAATAAGCATTTTCTGTATTTGTATCTAAGCATCGTCTAAGGTAGTTGAGAACTCCCATTTCTTGTTTTCTTCTTTTTAATTTTCTAAGTACATACATACATAGATATGCTACTTCAGTTGGCTGGTTTGTTCTTATTCACTCACCTTCCGCTGTTTGTAATCCAATGAGCTCCGAGTATTCACCCTCGCCGGCATTGTTGAAGGCCTTTACGCGCGCGTTGTACATTGAATTGAAGTGGAGACCGTCGACGGTGCAAATTGTTTCCTTGCCGCAATAGACCTCCTGAGGAGTGTAAAGCGAGAATATGAAAAAATTAATAATTTGTACGTAAGCTGAAAATTTAAACACAACTAGG